CCATACTACACAGTAGGGGAACACAATGGCGTAATGATGACCCATACTACACAGTGGGGGAACACAATGGTGTAATGGTGACCCATACTACACAGTGGGGGAACACAATGGCGTAATGATGACCCATACTACACAGTGGGGGAACACAATGGCGTAATGATGACCCATACTACACAGTGGGGGAACACAATGGCGTAATGATGACCAATAGTTCCCATGCAGTAGGGGAACACAATGGTGTAATGATGACCAATAGTACCCATGCAGTTGGGGAACATCATGGTGTAATGCTGACCAATAGTTCCCATGCAGTTGGGGAACACAATGGCGTAATGATGACCAATAGTTCCCATGCAGTAGGGGAACACAATGGCGTAATGATGACCAATAGTTCCCATGCAGTAGGGGAACACAATGGTGTAATGATGACCAATAGTTCCCATGCAGTAGGGGAACACAATGGTGTAATGATGACCCATACTACACAGTAGGGGAACACAATGGCGTAATGATGACCCATACTACACAGTGGGGGAACACAATGGCGTAATGATGACCCATACTACACAGTAGGGGAACACAATGGTGTAATGATGACCCATACTACATAGTAGGGGAACACAATGGTGTAATGATGACCCATACTACACAGTGGGGGAACACAATGGCGTAATGATGACCCATACTACACAGTAGGGGAACACAATGGCGTAATGATGACCCATACTACACAGTGGGGGAACACAATGGTGTAATGATGACCCATACTACACAGTGGGGGAACACAATGGCGTAATGATGACCCATACTACACAGTGGGGGAACACAATGGCGTAATGATGACCCATACTACACAGTGGGGGAACACAATGGCGTAATGATGACCAATAGTTCCCATGCAGTAGGGGAACACAATGGTGTAATGATGACCCATACTACACAGTAGGGGAACACAATGGCGTAATGATGACCCATACTACACAGTGGGGGAACACAATGGCGTAATGATGACCCATACTACACAGTAGGGGAACACAATGGTGTAATGATGACCCATACTACATAGTAGGGGAACACAATGGTGTAATGATGACCCATACTACACAGTGGGGGAACACAATGGCGTAATGATGACCCATACTACACAGTAGGGGAACACAATGGCGTAATGATGACCCATACTACACAGTGGGGGAACACAATGGTGTAATGATGACCCATACTACACAGTGGGGGAACACAATGGCGTAATGATGACCCATACTACACAGTGGGGGAACACAATGGCGTAATGATGACCCATACTACACAGTGGGGGAACACAATGGTGTAATGATGACCAATAATAACCCGTGGGGGAACACAATGGTGTAATGGTGACCCATTACGGTGAAGACAATGAACGCATTACGATGGTGATTGCAACGATAAACATCCTACCCACACAGTAGAACACAGTGGACACATGAACACCACTGACCACGGTGGGGAATCCTAATGGTAAACGTTGATAAGCACCACGACGTACTGAGGGCAATGTCCTGCGTTTGTTTAGAAAAGAAACAACTTGTTGAATTGGTCACTCTGTGATATTTAAACCTTTTTTCTTCTGTTATGTATTACTGCAAAGGTATTCATTGAAAGATGTACCGAACTTTGTATGACGTTAATCACACAGGCGTGAAACGTGTTCAAACAGACATATGTATCCTGTTCTTTACGGACATTGCAACAGATCGGCTTAAGGTGGTATTACACCTGATGTCCCGACCCTGTTGGAAGTCAAGGCGTTGGGCCTGCCATGTCCTCATTGCCCTTTTTACATAATCATACTTACATCATGTGGATTATGTTAACAACGCCAGTTTTTCAACGTTCCTACGCCGACTTGTGGAGCATTAACCACTGATTCAGCAAATACGTGTGAAGTCAAAGATTGACACTAGTGATTGACACTAGTCCATGGAGCAGAAAGGACTGATTTTGAAATAAATCGAATACCTATCAAATGTCTACAGGGTTATAAACGGTGTAATGTGAATCGAGCGAGGTGGCCGTAACGTCAGTGTTTCAATTTGTGATTGTCTTCAACAATTGACTTTTTCGGAAAGATCTGGAGCGAACATTAACTTTCCAAAATCGTAAGAGATTTTAGTTTCCAGTTCTAGTTGTATGATAATAATGAACGAATTGGGAACTCGTTACAACTGGTAGTGAAGAATGACAGTAGATGTTATGACCGCAAACGATCTTGAAGGACGATAGGGGTAAGATGGGGTGTTTCAAAGTTGACGTTTTCTTATGGGAGTCTGGCCCACTCGGTCGGTAGCCTATGATGTTGACGCACACGTCTCCCTATCATCTAAATGGCGCATTCAATCGGTGAAAGGTCTGGGCTCATTGCTGGCCATGACATTCTATGTTGCTAGAGATGAGCTTTGACGATTCGTGCGCGGTGAGCAACAAAAACGTCGACCCACACGCCTTGCAAACGGGACAACAAAGGGTGTCAGTATGTTGTCCTGATAGTACCGTCCAGTGACTCTTCCTTGCACAATACTGAGTGAGGTTTGGTCAGTCATAGTGATGCCATCCAAACCGATCCCCCGCCAAATCTGTCATAACGTGGTCTCAGGTTCACATTGGCTTAACGTTCATTTCGACGTCGCCAGACACAACCTCGTCTATCAAGGTGGTGCAAAATGAATCGTGACCAGCGACGTTGTGTATGTACACCACTGACGTCCGTTGCCAATATGACGATGTTTAACGGGCGGCACAACACGTGGCCGTCGAGCATGGAGGTGAGCAGCATGTGGACAGTTTCTAATCGTCAGATCTCGTCTATCTCATTTATCAGTAACCTGATGAAAGTTTGCAGCAATCTAGTTCGAGGTTTGAGCTCAATTTCGTAGAGCCTGGTTTCGAAAATCGACTCTTCCTCTTGCCGTTGACCTGGGTAGCCTGAACGGGGTCGATCATTAACCTGTTGGGTTTGTTGGTACCTGTTTCATAGTCTGCTTATCACAGACTGTGTGCCTTGCTTTGTATTATCTTAAGGAAAAGTCGAAACTCCGCTCTGTGTGTCCTGGGGTTTAAAAGACTATGACAATAGAACACATCTCTCATTTCTCAAGACTTATTCTCTTCGATCTTTACACATATATTGATTACCAACACTAGCTGTGAGACGCAACCAGAAGCGGCACTCACGCGGGTATCAATGATGTATGGACCAGTCTTTCGACAGCTGTGTAGTATTGTGTTTGTGAATAGCTGTGTAGTGTTGTGTTGGTGAATAGTTGTGTAATGTGTTTATGAAAAGCTGTGTAATGTGTTTGTGAATAGCTGTGTAGTGTTGTGTTCGTAAAAAGTTGTGTAATGTTTTTGTGAATAGCTGTGTAATGTGTTTGTGAATATCTGTGTAGTGTTGTTTTTGTGAATAGATGTGTAATGTTGTAAATAGCTGTGTAGTGTTGTGTTTGTGAAAGTTTTTGTAATGTGTTTTTTGAAAGCTGTGTATTGTTGAATTCGTGAATAGCTGTGTAATGTCGTGTTTGAGGATAGCTGTGCAATGTGTTTATGAAAAGCTGTGTAGTGTTGTGAATAGCTGTGTAATGTTGTTTGTGTATAGTTGTGTTTGTGAATAGTTGCGTTATGTTGTATATGTCAATAGCTGTGTAGCGCTGTGTTTGTGAATAGATGTGTAATGTTGTTTGTGAATAACTGTGTAGTGTTGTTTGTGAATAGCTGTGTAATGTGTTAGTGAATATCTGTGTAGTGTTGTGAATAGCTGTCAACGACGCTCAACTCGTGCAAATGTAATAACGGTCGTTCGGAGTCCTAAAGCATTTTTGTGAGTACATCAAGCGGAGCGCTTAACAACACTTGTGGTTATTAGATTTCATTTATGAGTATAAAAAGTAATAATATACATCTGGCGTGGACAATTCAGAGGTGCTTTCCATATTCGCATGACTGGCAATCACTGTACACAAAATAGGTGCGAAGTTTCAATCTCATAGATCATTTTATTTTTACGAGTGAAATTGCTAACAGTCTGAATACTGTTAGCTGTATGTTTTCAAAAGAGGTATGTCATTTTATATGTAAACGATATAATGAACGTACTGCATATTAAACGGGCAAGTGTTATATATATGCCCTATTGTGTTTTACAAATTACTGGTTATTAACTGAGATCGAGCCGAGCTTACTTGTGTCGGTGTTTGAAGATAAACGGATAATGACAAGTGAAAACTCTAGAAATGTGACGGTTTTGACCTCTGCCTTTGTGAACGCTGTGCACGACACCCACTGTGACATGTTTCACTCCACAACAATATTCTTCTCCCCGCGTGGGGACAAGGTAAGACTGGCGGTCTCTCCTGGTATCAAGTGATCACTAGCTGCTCGCTACTGGTGTGGAGCTGGGGCGGAGATGTATTCGGTGGGGCACACTTGCACTTTCAATGATTTCAAAGAGTTTTATGATTTTGGCTGTTACGAAAATATTTTGTATTGTTTCATTACATGGATTGTTACGTCAACCACTACTCCACGAGTTAACCTTGTACGGGGGGTTATCACATACAGTCCGCAACGATGTGGCTATGATACTGCATCATTATAACACAGCACTCAATTCCGAAAATGGATGCTATCATTGCCATGTTGACGCGCGTATATGTCTTGCGTTAAGCATATACGAAGAAAAGACGATACATGTTTAGGTTATGGAACTAAATAACACCTTTAAAGTTACTTCTGCGGAGACGCTATATTTGTACGTGATATTTATACATATCTCAGGTCAAGTAGAGTTGCCTCTTGCGTACATAATAGGTGTATTATGTCTACAAAGACCGCCTATAGCGATTATCGTTCTGAATGGGTTTGACACAAAACAGCGAGCCTCTTGTGTAGCCCCCTACCCCCGTCACGGCGGACCGTGTGAACACTTGTCTACATGGTGGGACAGGTGCACAGCCCACAGAAGCATAGGGCTGGACCTGGTGTACACCTGGCTAGATACATGCATGTGTAAATTGGGCCGTGTGAACGTTGCTAGAGAGTGATGAAGCCTGATTCAGGCACTCCTGATGTGGAGGTAGGTTAGTGACGGGTAGAGAAGATTGACTTTCGGGGATGTATAGTGTTGCGTTTTCCATTCTTGACCCTTGTTGTTTTTCAGTATGTAACCATTAACATTATTTGTTCAATAGCATATTTATTGTCATTTTTTCGACAGACATAGTTTTGTTTATTATCATCATCATTACTTTTAGAATAGAAGGTGTTACTTATTTGAGGCTTTTATGTCATATTTGTGTAGTGTTGTGTTTATGAATAGACGTTACAGCAGGGACCATGTTGGAAGTGAAATCCATGATCAGGTGCCATGGTAATGATGTGTCACGATGACAATGATGTATTCACATACATGTATCAACATCTAAGCCATAGTAGTACTTGCAGTGGTCACTGTACATGGCTACCCTAACTGTGACATCTTTTCCGTTGTCTTTGTTGTACGAGGTTTCAATGAGTCGATACAGCCCTGAACGTTCTCCGTGATCACCAAGAATATGGCGTGTATGCCTGGAGAACATTAATCCAGAGAACATTAACCTTTTGCTTGTTGTTTCAGGACCGCGGGAAGATGGAGCGGCTACGGCCGGAGCGGCGTCCGAGGCAGCGTGTTCAGAAGGTGTGGCGTAGTGTGTGCTGGGCAGACTCCTTTTCCGACGAGTCCCTCGTCATGGACACAATCGACATCACCGCAGACTTCGCCCTCAGGAAGATCGCCACGCTGTTCGAGAACCGGAAGTATGAGGAGTGTGCCTCCCTCATCCGCCGCCTCAACAACCTCATGGTGAAGGCCATCCTCAAGGAGGTACCTATTGACGTTATCCACGAGGCGCTGCCGTACAGTGCGTGTATTCTCGAGGCGCTGTATGTCAAGGTGTATCAGACGTATGCAGATCAGTTCCCGATGGCCGAGATGCACTTGGAACAGTTGGTCAAGCGGATGGTGTGTATCTTCGCGAAACAGTACAGTGCCAACAAGGGAGATAAGAACTCTAACATGTTCCTACCGTCTTTCAGAACAGTGCTGCGGATCATTATCTCTGTGCAGCCAGACTTCCGCCGCCAGATGTTTCTCAAGAAGAAGAGCATTGATCAGTGCCTCCTACGTCTTGGTCACCATGGGATGGTGGACAGCTCTGGTGGCAGACTCATGAGTCTCCACGATGCACTTAAGGTGGAGTTCGAGAGAGTTGTGATACAGTATAAGTGTGCCATACAGAAGATGGACGACCTGAGCCTGTCTGCTAAACATCCGACCAGTAGTTCTGTGACATCCGGCAAAGCGCCTACAAACGCCAGTCACCAGCGACTAATGCAGGTGACCCGATCTGACGTCCAGAACCGCCTCATCAAGAACAAGACACTGCTGAACGTTGTTGAACCGTCCATAACCAGCCAATATTTGAAACATTTGATCACGGTGCTGCAAAAAAGGATCGAATACGACAAGTATATGCTGTTTCACGACACGGAGCTGCGGAAGATGAGCGGCATCGTGGACGACGACGTCTACCTCTCCGTCACTCTACGTCAGTTCTCGCAGGGATATGCAGCCATGTTGCAGGTGCTAAGGGAAATAACTGGCGATGACTACATCCCGGAGGAGATTGGTAATGGCAACCTCAGCTCCAGCGAGGACGATACTCTAGAGAGACGTATCACGTCTACAGTCAATGGCAGGATTAAATCAGGGCACGGCGGTGGGAAAATACCAAACTCAGGTAAGTAATTAATATGTTGTTGTCCTATGTGATGCATGTATAAGTAAGTTATTTAGTGTGTACATTTGTTGGTTCATGGTTGCCTGAATTCTTCAGTTACGTTCATTAGTCACAATACTTACAATGAACTTTTGAAAAATGAAATCAGCTGCGAGAGAATATTTTTGCTTTATGAAAATCTTAACACTATCCTTGCATACTCAACAATGTTCTATATGCAAACACACATGGGCATGCCTGTCTCACATGCATTGTATACATAAGTGGGAGCCCCATGCTTCACGTTCGGTGTAAAACATCTCAGTTGTTCTGTTCTGAGAAACTTGATCTTGATCCTGGAACGTGGAGTTTGTTGTCCCCATCTCGTAACCATCTACAGATGATGGTGAATTTATTCACAAGACTTGATCTGTATTTGAATTGAGGCAGCAAATGGAATGCCAATGCATTCTTATTATGTTGGTGTATAGCCTTAAGAATGTGTGATCATATCTTGTCTGATCTATGGACGCACCTTCAAGCAGGTGCAATGTTGCGTGTAGACAGGAGCTTCACGTTTCCCATGTGTTGTAACTCAAGCAGTGTTATCCTGCCCACTGGGGGTGGATTTCACAGCTCAGCGCGTCACGTTGTCTTGTCCCCGTCGTAATGTGGTAACTGTATCTTCTCTTGATTACCTGTGGTAGGGTGTGATGAAGTACTCTAGTAGAATATGCCCAGACACATACACAGGGGACTTGCCACCCAGTCCACGGGACGTCCCAAGAACGTAGAGTATGGCGTCGCGGTGCGCAGTGCTGTCTGGCCAGAAAAGGAAGTATGGTGTTGGTATGTCCCTTGTGTGTCTCACATTTCTATTTGAGATTTAAGTAGACATTTTAAAACTGTAAGGGCTTTCGCTATTTTTCTCTTCTGATATCAATCATTTGTCTCATCACGGACTTGTATACAAGTCCGTGGTCTCATCAATCTCCCCTGCGGCCCAACCCGGTAACACTATATACACGGCTGTCGTGGTCCCAGGCTATGTCTGCCGGATATAATGCATTATGTATATAAGATTCAATACATTAGAAACTCGTCATAACTATCACGTTTATAATATAAAAAAATGTGATGAAGTGGATGATAAATGTTTCTTTTTATACTATGACAAAATTCCTGGAAGGCGTCTTCGTGATTGATCTTATTTAGTTTTTCTTCAATAATGCATTCCATAGCTGATCAGTCTGCAGGAGTCCTAACCATTGTAATTTAACACACACACACACACACACACACACACAATGGAGGCAGGATCTATGGTGGTGTATGGTAGAACCAGGTACTGTGAAGTGTTCAAGCAATGACTTTATCTTGACCTCAACATCCACATTAGCCTGAGTAACGGTTCATGAGCAACATAAGGCGCATGTGTGCTGACAATACTAACGGCATAGATGTATGTCAGATGGATATTCACGCTGGCTGAACACAACAATGCCGTAAATTGACATGAAGTCAATGTGAGGACAAACACAATGTGTAGTAGGTTATCAGGGGGCCATAGTAGCTACTAAACCTATCATTCTGCGTGAGAACTTGTGCTGGAATGTCAATTAGGGGGACTTATGGGCAGGTGCGTGCTCGGTGTTGACAACAAGTCCAGGGAGAGGTTATCCTGGCCTGATCACTCCGTACGCTGAACCGATGACGCAAGTTGTTGCCATTTTAGTTGCTAACTTGAACCTCATACGCTCTTGCTGGTATGTGGTTGTCACTAGCAACATAACATATACTGTCTATATCAGAAATCATGTGGAGGGTTGGGGATATTTACGTTTCTTGTTACGTTTCTGTCTATCTTTAGTTTCAGGACATTATATGGATTAATAATAAGGATTAGTTAATGTTGATTTACTCCAAAAACAGAGAGGAATTCAGAGGGCGCACCTGCTGCAGTTTACTACTTGTCTGTGATCTGTGATGGATCACAAAGCGATGACATTGGAGTAGCCATGTTCTGATGCACCTGATTCAATTCTTTACATCCAAAAGCGCCTCCTTGGTGTAGTGGATATAACGTCTGCCCTCATACCGCTTCTGCGGTGAAATGGATGGGCGTCTGCCGGTGTCCCGGTATAAACTCTCCCCCGTACAAATTCTCCCCCCGGAGATTTTATACCGGTACAGATTCTCCCCCGGCGAATCTGTTCTGAAATAAAATCTCCCCCGGGCGGATATATTTCGCGCCCCCCTCAGTATAAAGTCTCCCCCCTGATTATTCGGTTTGTTGCAATGTCTTTAAGTACTATATTCTTTAAATAGTTATCTTTAATATAAGGAGGGTTACTTTAAAAAATAGATTATGAAATATGGTCATAATGAATTGATATTTCAGAATATTTTATTTGGTAACTGTACCTTCCATCCTAAAATAATTATAAGACATAATCATACCAAACAAAGGATGGGAGACATGAGTCTCTACAGAACTTGTTGTTTCTAATACAGTTGTTGTTGTCTGTATACATTTTGTTAATATACCAGTTTGAGTCTACATGTGAACACAATCGATGGTTGTAATGTTAGTCTAAGAACAAAACATGATCTAATTCTAAAGAACTCTGATGTATAAAGTTACCTTCATCTTTGATTGACTGATGTATTTTCAATCTTTATTCAGCACTGAAGAGGCCACAGGCCTATAGTACGAAGCATTAAGTTTATGAATAAACTGTTATAAAGTATTCATAAAGTATCAGGGGTCATTTCAACTTACAAAATGATTGACATGGTCCTTTATAGAGCGAGGATTGGGCTGTTTTCCCATCCGATTGACTGATATTACAACATTCACATGGTTTAGAATGGTACAATGAATAAAGCATGCAAATTACACTATTACGCGATATTTCATAAGAAAATATCATATCTCCGTTGAAACATAAAACCAATATTTATGAGTCTACATATTGATATAAGACTTTATCACTGTATCCAATTCCAACATTTTAGATATAAACTTTCGGACAGTTCAGTTCAAAATTCTTCAACCTTTACTGACTGACTGATATAGAAGATTTAACGTGCGCTTTCCGACTGCAGCGTATTTCGCACACGGGCCTGGCCAGACCATTTAGTGTATTCCGAGAAGGGTGAAAGTGGTGTGTGCAACACAAGAGGGGGCTTTTAGGGGTTGCTTATATCGATTTTTGAAATTTTAAAATTTGGAATAAATGCCGAGGTGGATGGAGGAGGGAACTAAGGGAGCTGGGTGAGGTGGGTATTTGTATGTTTATTGGATTTTGGGTTGGTAGATTAATTAGTTTTTAGATGCGCTTAATTAGGCCTGTTTTGATTAGGAATACGCCTAGGGCCTTGAAGTTTTCTAGTTTATTTTGAGGGTTTAGTATTTCATCTAGAGTAGGAACCTTATTTAGATTGAGGTTGGTTTGTAGTGTGGTTCTGTGTGTTTGGTAGTGGGTGCAGTGGATGAGTGCGTGTTCTGTGGTTTCGGGTTGTTTGCAGTGGGGGCAGTTGCCTGTGGTGTGTCTTTTAAGTTGTTTTAGGTGGTTATTTAGGTTCGTGTGTCCTGTTTGGAGTTTTGTAATTAATCTGTCAATTTTTTTAGAGGGGTGAAGGATTTTAGGTTTGGCTAGTGGTTTTCTGAGCACTTTTTTGATTTGGCTATTTGAGTTTTGATATTGATTATGCCATTTTTTGGTTATTTTTTGTTTGTTTACACTTTTAATTTCTGATTTTGAGATGGGTAGGTTTAGGCTTATTTCTGGTATTTTGAGAGATAATTTAGCTGCTTTATCGGCGCTTTCGTTGCCGTAAATTCCTACGTGGGCGGGGATCCACAAGAAGGTTATTTGTTTGCCTGCTTTTGTTAGGTCGTTGGAGCTTTTAAGTATTTGGTTTATTAATTTAGGTCGTTTTTTGGTATTTTTGTTTTGGAGGGCTTGTAGTCCACTAAGCGAGTCAGTGAGAATTAGGATTTTTTTGTGTTTTTTTGATTGTTGGTTATGCAGGGCTGAGGCCATGCCCATAAGTTCGGCCGTGAATATAGATTGGTTGTTTGGGAGTCGGTAAGATTGTGTGGATATAACTGGTTGTGTGGTATGGACTCCGAAACCTGTGTGTTTGGAGATCGGGTCTGAAGATACGTCAGTGTATATGTGACACCAATTTGGCCAATTTTCGTGTATGTATGAAAGTGTGGTTGTTTTAGCTATGTTTGGGTCGGTTTGTTTATTTATTTGGTTAGTTAGCGTTGTATCTATTTGGGGTATTTTGAGTTTAGGGGTGAAGATATTTGATTTTTTGCAGTTTTGTTTAAGATTTTGAGTTTGGTGTTCATTGAGGTAGTTAGTTATTCTTTGGGATATTGGGGTGAGTAAGGGGTGTTTGCGAGCTAGAGCTTGGTTTCTTGGGCTAATGTTTTGGTTAATTAGGTTTTGGATGAGAGGGTTTGTTTGGGAAGCGGCCCAGAAATTAAGGCTTAGATGTTCCCTGCGTAGATTTAGTGGCATTTCTCCTGTAAGGGCCTGAAGTGAGGTGTAGGAGGTGCCATGTTGGGTGCGTGTAATTAGTTTAAGGGCTTGGTATTGGATTGAGTCAAGTTTTTTAGATAGAGAGTGGTTTAGGGTATTGTATATGGCGCAGCCGTAGTCTAGTTTTGATCTAATTAGTGTTGTATATAGTGAGAGGAGGGTATCTTTGGAGGCTCCCCAGTTAGAGCCGGTGAGACATCTTAATGTGTTAAGGTCTTTGCTGCATCTAGTTTTTAGGTTTTGGACGTGAGCCTCCCAGGTGAGGTGTTGATCGAAAATAAGTCCTAAGAATTTGGTTTGTTTTTGGAATTTGATTGTTTGGTTGTTTAGCTGGAGGATTGGGTAGGCAGGTTTCATGTTTTTATGTTTGAATACTACTCCTGTTGTTTTATCTGAGTTAAGGGAGAAGCCCCATTTGTCTGCCCATTGTTGTATTTTATTTAGAGATTTTTGGATTAAGTT